ATTCATGAAGATGTTGCCATTACCTAAAGGTGGGCAAAATGGAGTACATGGGCCAGTTACATGTGTTCCAGCAAATATAGTACAAACTAATAATTTGCTGCCACGTTCTACCATGGAAGGCTCTTTGTTGCCTGTGAAATTGAAACGCAAGTTAACATATAAAGGACATTATGAGTATCAGTATGTTGACACTATGCACATAAGGCAGGCACTACAGTATTTAAAAGAGACCAATGTGCATTATAAAGATGTAGAGTTTAATGAAGAGTGGTTAAATAAGTTTTGTAGGGAAGCGGATAGTGATGCGATAGAAAAGGCCAGGGATTCTAATGTAGACAGTGTTGAAACATCTCCTGATAATGTGGATGATGAGCTTCTACATGAGGACACCTGTCTCATGCCTGTTGATATTGGTCAGGAAGTGCTGGATCAATATTTTGATCATATATTGAATGTGGCACCTGCAGAAGGAAACTCTCCTGTGAGATTGCTCTCTGATCCTGCTAATGAGGCCAAATGCTTCCCGGTGTTGTTTCCAAACGGTTTGTCTACATATCATGATGATAGACAGCATCGCTTGACATTGTCACGTTATTTTAATAACAGGATTTTACATGCTGATGGTAGATTTGCACAAAATGTTGAATATATCTTTTTTGCCCAGTACATGTCTGAGGTTGAACAGGTTGTGTCAAATGTATCTATAGCTTTACGGAAAGGAAAAGGAGGTGCTAAATCTCAGAAAGTCAGTGGGGATGTTTTGACCAATGAGGGATCTTTAAAGAAGCTGTTGGAATTTGATGATGGTTATCGTTTTCTTAAACCTATTAGAGGTACACCATCTTTTTGGCAGGGAGCCCAGCGTGACCTGTTGGCTTGTGTTCGTCAGCTCGGTGTCCCTACGTGGTTCTGCTCATTTTCCTCTGCTGATATGCGGTGGAAAAACCTTCTTTATAGTATTTTGAAACAGGAAGGTAGAACAGAGACTGTAGAAGATTTAGAATGGGCAGACAGATGTGACCTTTTACGTCGCAATCCTGTCACTGCGGCTAGAATGTTTGATTTTCGCTGGCATTGTTTTTTGAAGGAGGTACTGATGTCTCCATCTCATCCAATAGGCAAAATAAAGGACTACTTTTATAGGGTGGAATTCCAGCAACGTGGTTCACCACATGTCCATTGCCTGTTTTGGATTGAGAATGCCCCATTAATTGAAACATACAGATGCGGAGGTGGTTGAATTTATTGACCAGTACGTTACGTGTGAATTACCGGCCCAAGATGACGCATTGGTTGACATTGTTACATCTGTGCAACAGCATTCAAAGCGGCATTCAAAAACCTGTAAAAAGAAGAAAACTGTTTGTCGTTTTAATTTTCCCAGGCCGCCATCGGCAAGAACATTTATATCTCGTAGTGTTAGTGAAGACGATGACAAAGAAACATGTACGTGTAGGTTGGAGCATTGTACATGCAAGAATCAGGGACAGACAAAACCTGATAGGATGAAAAAGAGTATGCAGTGAACGTCATGACTGCTATTAAGGAGGCTCTTTCAGACGAGGATGCTAGATATGACACTGTGGAGCAGTTGTTTAAACATTTAGGTATAAATCAAGCACTTTTTGAAGAAGCATATAATCGCTGTGGTAGGAACACACATGTCGTGCTGAAGAGGCAGGCAAATGAAGTCTGGATTAATCAATACAGCAAACCACTGTTAAAGTGCTGGAATGCAAATATGGACATCCAATATGTTGTTGATGCCTATGCATGTGTAGTGTACATCATTTCTTATATTTCTAAAGCAGAAAGAGAAATGGGATTGTTGTTAGGAAATGCACAACGGGAAGCAGCTAAGGAAGGAAATGCTAGTGCAAAAGATGCCTTGAAAAAGTTAGGGAGTGTGTATTTACACAATAGAGATGTGTGTGCTCAAGAGGCTGTTTACAGGTTAACAAATCTACATCTGAAGGAGTGTTCAAGGAAGGTTGTATTTGTGCCAGTAGGTGATAACATTGTTAAAATGAGTCTGCCTTTAAGTGTGTTAAAACAAAAGGCATCATCACATGATCTTACCACAGAAGATATGTGGATGACTAGTTGTGTCGATAGATATAAGAACAGGCCAAAAGATACTACTTTTAATGACATGTGCATGGCAACATTTGCGTCAGAGTACCGTGTTCTGTCTAAAAATGAAATGTCAAAGAATAGGATTAAACTAAACGGTGACTGTGGTTTTATTTTAAAAAGAACACGCACACAACCAGCAGTTGTTCGTTATGTTTCTGAGACAAAGAATCCAGAATTGTTTCATCAGAGCATTCTGCAGTTGTTTTTGCCCTATCGTAAAGATGTACAGCTGAAACCTGCAGGTTTTGAGACATATGAGCAGTTTTACGGTAGTGGTGCGGTTAGGTGATGGATGTCTACATCTGGTCAAGTCAGTTGTTGATTTAAATAGAAGGAAATTTGAAATAGAAGCAGAGGAATTGGACAATATCCAAAATGCAATTGGTAGTGATGGTGTTATTGAAGATGCCTGGTGCGAGCTGTGCCCAGAGCAAGAATTGGAGCGCTTAGAGTGTCAAGAAGAACGTAGAGACACAGAACAGATAGTGGAAGAACATGTAGACAGTATTCCTGATTTAGGAGTGACCAGAGAACAAGTTTCACATTTAGAAAAGAAAAGTAACACCATGAGCAGAAGTGACGGTTTGGCGTTACTTCACTCTCTGAATGAGACCCAGATGTGTATTTTTTTTCAGATTAGACAGTGGTGCTTAGAGACTGTAAGGGGGAAACAGCCAGAACCATTACATGTTTTCATTACAGGTGGTGCAGGGACAGGTAAGAGCCATTTAATCAAGGCTATTCAGTACGAGGCAACAAGGCTGCTGTCGACAGTGTGTCGTAATCCAGACGACATTTGTGTTTTGTTAACTGCTCCTACGGGGATAGCTGCGTACAATTTACATGCAGCTACCATTCACCGCGCATTTAGCATTGGGAAAGATGTACGCTTACCGTACACGCCTTTGGGTGAAGAAAAGCTTAATTCTTTACGTGCTAAATATAATAGCTTGCAGATTTTGATAATTGATGAAATCTCCATGGTAGATCATAAACTGCTAGTTTATGTCCATGGAAGATTACGACAGATCAAGCAATCTGGTGACTATTCCCCGTTTGGAAATGTCAGTGTAATTGCTGTTGGAGATTTTTTCCAGTTGCCTCCAGTTAAAGGGAAACCGCTGTATGTACATGATGTAGGTGTTGATTTGTGGGCTAGTCTATTTAAGGTTGTGCAATTAAAAACTATTGTTCGGCAAAAAGATGAAGTATTTGCCCAGTTGTTGAACAGAGTAAGAACTCGTTCAAAAGGGATCCCGATGCTAGACAGCGACGCTGAAACATTAAAACGTTGTGAAACCGGTGAACTCAGCTCAGCTTTACACATATTTCCCTCCAATAAACAAGTAAATGAGCATAATGTGGATCAACTCTTTAAGACTTGTCCTGATTATGTTCGGGTAGATGCGCAGGATTTTGTTAACAGTAAGAAAACAGGCAAGTTAGAATTAATGAAGGGACATCATGCCAAAACATATAACACATGTTTGGATGAAACGCTGCTTTTGGGCAAAGATGCGCGTGTAATGTTAATAAAAAATGTAGATGTGAATGATGGTCTGGTTAATGGGGTATGTGGTACAGTCACGCATATAGTTTATCGCGAGTACAATAACAAATTTCCTCAAACTGTGTTTATCAAATTTGATGACAGTCAAATTGGTGCACAGAGGAGGAAATGCTGTGCAGATTCTTCAGCAGTTGCTATAGGTGCTACAGGTATTGAACCAGAAGAGGAAAGGGTTACAAATAAAGGTGGATTGCGACGACAATTTCCACTAAAACTGGCTTGGGCTTGTACAGTGCACAAAGTACAAGGACTTAGTGTAGATGAAGCTGTAGTGTGCCTTAAAAGAATATTTGCACCTGGGCAGGCATATGTGGCATTAAGTCGCGTTAAGAGTTTGTCAGGTTTAATTATTCAGGACTTTGATGAGAAGGCCATATATTGTAAAGATAACATTAAAGATGCAATTGAAAACATGCCTCCCTTCTTGGTCGAAAGGACCACAAAGCACAAATTCAATACACAAACCTTCACTGTATTTTTGATGAATGTTCAAAATTTAAGACGACATGTAGCACATTTAGCATTGTGTACACAGCATTTGCAGCTTAACTGTATAGCTGTTACAGAAACATGGCTGCCTGCAGTTTCCTCCTTTGAAACTGTAAACATTGATGGTTATAGTTTTCATAGTCAGCCCCGAAATTTATCATACAGTAGCAGCAACCCAACATTGCTTGAAATACAAGGCCAACAACATGGTGGAGTTGGCATGTACAGTGCAAACAATTTGGCATATAATGTTATCGAGACACCACATGTGAATTTAGAATGTTTGGTTTATAACTGCACTACATATAATATATTGATAGCAGTTATTTATCGTCCACCACCGTATCCCTTGTCTTTGTTCAAAGAAAATCTGGGCAAGTTACTTGATTGGTTAAATCCAATAAGTAACACAATTGCTATCATGGGAGATTTCAATGATAATATTTTAAACTCTTCAACTATCTGCAAGTTTATGACCAACAAAGGGTTTGCCCAAAATGTCTCACAATCCACAACAGAGAAAGGCACTTTAATTGATCATGTTTATGTTAAAACAACACATTATAATGTAGAATCAACAGTGTTGCCAACATATTTCAGTGACCATGAGGGAATTGTATGTTCTTTCACATCTAAATGTTAAATCAAAGTTCAGAGAAAGGTTAGGGGAGCACATTAGTGTATTTTATTGTTTCCTGAGATATTGTATCACCAGCACAGCATCATTAGAGATGAGGTTCAAAGGAGTGAATCTGATCTGTTCAGTACCATTTTGCGTGTTTTGTGACTCATCTATTGTATTTATTAACTTTTATAGCTTACTATCATTGCATGTGTCCTGTATGAGTTATTGTATATTATATGAATTTGTGTCCGGTGGACAAATAAAATGGGGTTGTTTTCCTTACAGCATATCCTTACAACGGCACTTTTAAAGCATTCTCATTTTACCACACCTTGTATTTTAACTCGCTTGTCTCTAACAAGTGCCTTTTAATGTCCATTACAGAAATTTTCCTTGCTACATCCAGCCTTATCTGTCATGGACATGCAGTTTTCCCACTTTGTCTCTCTATATTTGTTTCTCATACTCCTAGTTCCCGACTCTGCTCACCCCACACACCTTCCTGCAATCGGCTCATCGCCCCTCCCTGCCTACACACATACCACCATCAGTTCATCAGCTTTGCAGTACTACGGATCTTCACCCATCCAGTGACAGATTGTTAAAACGGTACAGACATGCTTCTATCCTCTATGGTTTGGTGAGAACTTCTTTGTAATTGATGTGTACATTAACATGTCTTTTTTTTCCATGTGCATAGGATCTTTCCTCGTCTGCTTGACTGCAGTACTCATCCTCATGCCATTCCTGCCTGTCCATGCCATTCGCCATGTGTGTTCTACTACCAGCCATCTTCTGCAAATAAATCTCACCTTTTATATCTTTGTCTTTTTTTTTCTACTCTTAGGTCCACCCTGCAACACTGTCACAGATGAAGCTTTTTGTAATACAAAGTTATGTTTACCCACACTGGAAATAAATTTCATTAAATTGGCGCCATATGATTGTTATGTATATAATCTATTATTTTTTATTTTTTTATTTGCTCTCCATGGCAATGTACATACATTTAGCTTTTTTATGTTAGTGACATGTATGCACCAACCACATTTGATGCGAATCTGACACAATTATCCACACAGAGGAACATCCCTTCCTACTGTAATGTTCCTCTATTTGCTGTGTCCTGAATGTGCAGAGCCTAAATCTGTTTAAGTAGCCTGCTCACCTGTGGCAAACCCTTGCGGAGAAGGCTCATGTGAATGCATCGTTCCTCTGACTGCTCTGTGTAGATATGTAAATGTGATGCGCATTTTAGTTTACAAAGCATTTCTACCAGCTATGAGTTATTTATTCCTACTTTTCTATGCATTGTCTTCTGTGTTAGATAAACCATGTAAAATATTTAATAAAATATTTAACTGAAACTCCTGCCTTTTCTCATCTGTTCTAACATGCATGCCATTGAGGTGGTGATAGTAGTGGAACTACACTATCCTTCAGAAAATCTGAAGTCTGAATCTGAAATTCCTTCAAGCTAAATCTTCATAAACTGTAAAAGAAGCCCATTTTGCTATGTCACACTGTTGAAATAAAAGTCTCGCCCTATAGAAGACATGGCACCGCATTTTTGGTGAAATGGCGTTGATGAAATTTGGTACAGTTTTCACCATGTACACAACATTTATAATACATTCCTGTTTATGACAAATAATGCTTTGCCACAACAAAAGGTTTTCATACCTCACAAGCTTCACAATCTAGAATCAATGTGTTAGGGCTTTTCTTAGACTGTTCTGAATTAAATGTGAGCAACTAGAAGTAGTACATCACATCATAAATAATAGGTGCGTTTGACTTTATGCTGCGAAGCGCTGACTTTACATAAAGCATGCTGGTTTGAAATTGTCTGACCTTTTCCAGCGCTTCACATGACAGTAAAGCCTTGATGTGTAAGGCGACTTCAGATGCTGTTTTGTGGTCGCACAAATTTGGAACCAGCATTTTCCTAATGTTGAGGCATTTGTCTTGTGCTGCGAGGTTAGGCATTGTTTCGCGGTAGGTAGAATGTGTTAAACATGACCAAGCACTTTTTTTATACCCCGCCCCTCCAGTTGCCTGCTCCTCACCTTAGACTATTAAGTCAGCTGCAGTTATCTTGAATGCACCTATTGGCATGTAGATGTGTTTGGGGTGGGATTGTTACCAAGAACGTAACACTTTGTATAGATCTGAGCATGTACACAGTTATGATGACTTCCTCTTTCACAGCAATCCATGGAACCTCACTGCCACACCATTGACACTCCATTGAAGAAAAACACAAGTTTGTGTTTGTTGAGACGGTTTTGACATAGATATAGCCAACTTGGAAGACGTGGTAAATCACAGCATAAAAGTCACTTCCTGTTGCCAGCAGGTGGCGCTATGACTGTGGGTAAATGTCGGCATGTACATGTGTTCAGGGCTGGACTCTCATCCTACATGTACAGTTTGGTCCAGATGTGAGCATGTACACTGAAGATACGACAACTTCCTGTGTCGTGGCGAAGACTTGATCTTTGACGCCACGCCACGGACACGCCCATTGACGAAAACTTGCAAATAGCACAACTTTTCATCTTCAATGCCTTTAGAAGGCACAGCACAAATTTGAAGTCGGTCATACTAAATCCCTAGGAGGAGTTCGTTAAAGTACGAAGTGTGTAAATCATCCAAAATTTGACGTAAAATTCAAAATGGCCTACTTCCTGTTGATTTTAGGGCATTGCTCCAAGAGGCTTTTTTGTGCGTCTGGACAAGATACACGTACCACAGAAAATTTGTGCACGTAGGTAAAACGTGCGGCGGGGGCTGCTTCGTTAAAAGTCACTTCCTGTTGCCAGCAGGTGGCGCTATGACTGTCTGTGAATGTCAGCATGTACATGTGTTCAGGGCGGGACTCTCATCCTACATGTACAGTTTGGTCCAGATGTGAGCATGTACACTGAAGTTACGACAACTTCCGTGTCATGGCGAAGAGCTGATCTTTGACGCCACGCCACGGACACGCCCATTGACGAAAACTTGCAAATAGCACAACTTTTCATCTTCAATGCCTTTAGAAGGCACAGCACAAATTTGAAGTCGGTCATACTAAATCCCTAGGAGGAGTTCGTTAAAGTACGAAGTGTGTAAATCATCCAAAATTTGACGTAAAATTCAAAATGGCCTACTTCCTGTTGATTTAGGGCATTGCTCCAAGAGGCTTTTTTGTGCGTCTGGACAAGATACACGTACCACAGAAAATTGTGCACGTAGGTAAAACGTGCGGCGGGGGCTGCTTCGTTAAAAGTCACTTCCTGTTGCCAGCAGGTGGCGCTATGACTGTCTGTGAATGTCAGCATGTACATGTGTTCAGGGCGGGACTCTCATCCTACATGTACAGTTTGGTCCAGATGTGAGCATGTACACTGAAGTTACGACAACTTCCGTGTCATGGCGAAGAGCTGATCTTTGACGCCACGCCACGGACACGCCCATTGACGAAAACTCGCAAATAGCACAACTTTTCATCTTCAATGCCTTTAGAAGGCACAGCACAAATTTGAAGTCGGTCATACTAAATCCCTAGGAGGAGTTCGTTAAAGTACGAAGTGTGTAAATCATCCAAAATTTGACGTAAAATTCAAAATGGCCTACTTCCTGTTGATTTTAGGGCATCGCTCCAAGAGGCTTTTTTGTGCGTCTGGACAAGATACACATACCACAGAAAATTTGTGCACGTAGGTAAAACGTGCGGCGGGGGCTGCTTCGTTAAAAGTCACTTCCTGTTGCCAGCAGGTGGCGCTATGACTGTCTGTGAATGTCAGCATGTACATGTGTTCAGGGCGGGACTCTCATCCTACATGTACAGTTTGGTCCAGATGTGAGCATGTACACTGAAGTTACGACAACTTCCGTGTCATGGCGAAGAGCTGATCTTTGACGCCACGCCACGGACACGCCCATTAACGAAAACTCGCAAATAGCACAACTTTTCATCTTCAATGCCTTTAGAAGGCACAGCACAAATTTGAGGTCGGTCGGACTAAATCCCTAGGAGGAGTTCGTTAAAGTACGAAGTGTGTAAATCATCCAAAATTTGACGTAAAATTCAAATGGCCGACTTCCTGTTGATTTTAGGGCATCGCTCCAAGAGGCTTTTTTGTGCGTCTGGACAAGATACACGTACCACAGAAAATTCGTGCACGTAGGTAAACGTGCGGCGGGGGCTGCTTCGTTAAAAGTCACTTCCTGTTGCCAGCAGGTGGCGCTATGACTGTGTGAATGTCAGCATGTACATGTGTTCAGGGCGGACTCTCATCCTACATGTACAGTTTGGTCCAGATGTGAGCATGTACACTGAAGTTACGACAACTTCCGTGTCATGGCGAAGAGCTGATCTTTGACGCCACGCCACGGACACGCCCATTGACGAAAACTCGCAAATAGCACAACTTTTCATCTTCAATGCCTTTAGAAGGCACAGCACAAATTTGAGGTCGGTCGGACTAAATCCCTAGGAGGAGTTCGTTAAAGTACGAAGTGTGTAAATCATCCAAAATTTGACGTAAAATTCAAAATGGCCGACTTCCTGTTGATTTTAGGCTATGGCTCCAAGAGGCTTTTTTGTGCGTCTGGACAAGATACACGTACCACAGAAAATTCGTGCACGTAGGTGAAACGTGCGGCGGGGGCTGCTTCGTTAAAGGTCACTTTCTATTGCCAGCAGGTGGCGCTATGACTGTGGGTGAATGTCGGCATGTACATGTGTTCAGGGCGGGACTCTCATCCTAGATGTACAGTTTGGTCCAGATGTGAGCATGTACACTGAAGTTACAACAACTTCCTGTTTCATAGCGAATCATCGACGCCACGGACACGCCCATTGACGAAAACTCGCAAATAGCACAACTTTTCATCGTCAATGCCTTTAGAAGGCACAGCAGAAATTTGACGTCGATCCGACTAAATCCCTAGGAGGAGTTCGTTAAAGTACGAAGTGTGTAAATCATCCAAAAATGGCCATAAAATTCAAAATGGCCGACTTCCTGTTGACTTTAGGCTATGGGTTCTTGAGGCTTTTTTGTGCGTCTTGACATGATACATGTCCCCAGAAAATTTCGTAGATGTAGGTTGAACGTGAACGAGGGGCTAATTTTTCCAATTTTCTAGGTGGCGCTAGCGAGTCATTTTGCAACGCCCATGTGCGAAACTTGTAGAATACGAAATTTTTCACCGGTTCTGACATGTTTGCAAATTTTGGTGAGTTTTCGAGTATGTTTAGGCCATGTCATTTGGGCCTACTTTGCAGAAAAAAAAAAAAAAAAATTAAAGCTGCAAGCAGCGTTGGGCGGGCCCTCGCACTTGTAAGCGCGTCCGCGTGTGAGCCGGCCGAGTTGCACATTCTGGAGTTCTGCCGGTGCGGCTGTGAATTTCCTATGCGTTTCCGACGCCGCATGAATGTGCTATATGTCACTTCCTGTGTCCCCTATGTGGAGCTACATAGCACTTGCCGCTATGAATATAAATCGGTATTGACGTGTAGATGTCTGCGGGGGTGGGAGAGTTATCAAGCACGTAAAGTTTGTTTCAGATGTGAACATGTACACTGAACAATAATGTACCCAAACAAAAAATAAATTCCTTTTATATTTCCTGTGTTGTTTATGTGTACATACAGAGGAAGAATGTGAGAACAGCACACATTTCATCGTTACTGTGTGTTAGAGCATGGGAGAAACAGTGGATACTTTTAATACAGCCCACCCCTAATACTGTGTAACTATAACAAGTAGAGAACAGAAGAAAAAGATGTTCTTTCTTTACAACTGTCTGCATAGCTTATTCATATTGTGTAATGAATGAAAATAAATAGGCCTACTAGGCTCCTCTCTACTTTGACATTTAAGATTAGCTTGTTTGATCCACCTTCATACACATGTGACATTACTGTACAACTTGAGAAAGGTGAGTTGTTTTCTGCTCCAGCCTGCCTAAAAGAAAAGCGTTTTGGGGATTAAATGGACTTTATTAGCTGCTGCAGTGCAGGATGAACTCAGAATAGACCCATTTCTCACCTTATTATTCTAAATCATGCAACGAAGAAGAAGAAATGCATAAGAAATCCTGGGACAAAATCTGTCCACAAATACTGTACAGCATGTAGTCTGATGATCAAGACTTGTGTTATAGCTGACTTGGGCAGTGAAATGTTTTTTTAATTCATGTGGTCATAGTGTCCACAACTCAAATCAGAATATAAGAAGAAATGTTTTATACCACCTCAAGAAGGCTTCCTATCAGAAAGGTAGGAAGGTATTTCAAATGTACAACTGCAGTACTTAAATCTAAGTAAAGTAATTCCCTGACATTTTGTGTTACTTTACTTTTAATAGACCCATGTAAGAGGTTTTATACTTCCTGTGAGTATAATCCAATCAATCTTATTTTCATACTGTATATCCGTTGTGTAATTTGATAAATTGTGTTGTATGTCGTGCTCGCATCTCAGAGAAGACTCTGACTGCAACATGGTCTTTGTAAAGAGAGAAACAGACAGAAAAAGTCTCTAACTCTGCCTGTCAGCTCGCTCTGCTCCGTTAA